TTATTGGGTGTATGGTTTATCCATTCATCACCATCTTCACCAAAAACAATACACCCAATAAGCTTATTGAATGAATTCAGATTTACCATCCATTGGGCGCTTTGCAGAAAATCCATCGCTGTCGAGTGCACCTCTGCAGCTCATTTTCAAGCTTGCGGACCTGGCTGAGAAGATCTGTAGCCCATGCTTGTCCAAATGATCTACAAATTGAGCCTGTTCCAATGTGTTCCAGATCATTTCATGAATTTACCCTCTGGTAAACTAACATAACTATGGAAAATCACCATGTTTCATGGGAAAAATCACTATAAATGGTGATTTTCCATAGCTATGTTAGTTCACCAGAGGGTACACTGGAGAGTCAGAAGAACAATGTCATCCCCAAAGTTGGGGGTTGAAGCAACAAGACTGGCGCTTAAAAAACCTGCAATTTGGATTGTCTTAATCATCTTCCAGGGTCCAGTGCTGGGGGTGCCATGTTGCCCCCTTCAGGTCTCTTCACCAGCTGAAGGAACATCTTGATTTGACTGGACATTTTATGCCAAAAAAAATCAGGTACTGATATTTAAAACGCCATGCTATTTGTTAGTGGTTAGCTGAGATATCTGTCTAAGCCGCTTGGTGGCTGGAACACGGTGGCCACCATTATTTAACCGATCCATTTTGGGCGGATAAGATTTTCTGATTGGTGGTTTCAACCCCCCTGAAAAATATGAAAGTCAGTTGGGAAAATTATTCCCAATATATGGAAAAATAACAAGTGTTCCAAACCACCAACCAGTTTTGAGCCATTCCCAGACTTCTAGTGACCCCCAGTCACTCCTGGTACTTGCCAGTGACGGATCAGTTCTCACTGTTTTTCGCTCAAACTCAAAAATTCACTATTAACCACTATTAACCACTATATTGGGAAACCACTATTATTGTTCCCACAATGGTAAGAAACGAGGCACCCCAAAGTCATCCACCAGTTGAAGGTCGGGCTTTGAATCCACGGTGACCGTGGCTCTGCCATTTGTGGCCTTGCTTTGAAGCTCATCCAACTTGCTCCTCTCCTCCTTAGAACTTGGGAGATGCGGTTGATCAGCCACAACACCATGTTCCCACTTTTATGGCCATAACTTGGGGTTTCCCTACTACTGGCTCCGCATAGCCATTGTACTCCCAGGCATGGTTATCCCATGTCTGCCGCTATGTAGTCCTCAAATATAGCCTGATTCAGTACCCCCCCCGAAACCAAAAAAATATATGCCAAATTGTCCGATCCTGAAAAAAATGTGGTAAATGACTTAAAACATCTTAAAACCACGTTTGACCTCGAAATTCTAAGTATGATAGGGTAGTAACCATGATAGTAACATATAGTAACCCCCCCGAATTTTCACCTTTTCTGCATGTTTTTGGGGTCATAACTCCAATATTCCACCAGCAACTAGCACCAGGCTCCTGGATTTCGGAGAGCACCTAACAGCAAGTCAGGATACAAATGAGATATTATATATATATACATACATATTTATATATATACATACATATACATATATATATATATATATATATATTTACATGTGTATATATATATATATATTAATACATATATATATATATACATAATATATATACATATATATATATACAGATATATATATATATACATATATATATATACATATATATATATACATATATATATATATACATATATATATACATATATATATATATACATATATATACTGAAAACAGGTAAAAGGGGAAAACCGCACAGCGAGGCACTAGCAACTGTTTTGCCGCAAACTGGGACAAACTCATGAGCCTAAAGGCCCGGTAAGGTTGATAGGTGCAAGCTCAATTGGAAGTGGATTCACACTCCTCAACTATATTGTTGAGCTTGCACCAAATGGCAACTGGATGAGTCGCACGTTCTGCCACCACGTTCTGACGTCGACGATCACCTTGGTCAGTATGTCGGCCAGCTGATGTGTGGTGGGGAGCCACCTGAATGTTTTGTTGCCAGGCAGTTCAGAGGCCCAACGGCGATCTTCATCAGTCACCATACGGCGTAGTGCCATCAAATCCACGATGAGCCGCTTCTCGCTCGGTGCACGGGGCCCTCCAAGTCGGTGCACATTGTCGTAGAGAGACTTGCAGTCGGTGAGGGAGACTATCGGGAAGAGCTCCCGGGCCTCATCCTCACCAGATGCACCAGGGTTGATTGCGCTGGAGACGTAGGAGCGGAAAGCTAGGCCATCCTCCCAGCCGCCCAGTGCCGACATAGTCTCGGCAGCAAACGTACTCCTGCAGACTCTTGGGCACGCGTGTGATTTCCACCCCACAATCATTGACGGGCTCGGCTTGCCAGCGAGGGCATCCTTGGTCGTCAGGATCAGGATATGGCCGAGCTGAGAGTAGACACCATGTCCCTGAGCTTCTTCCAGGTCTGCAGCGTCAGCCACAGCAGGGTCTGGTGGAGCGTTCGCCCAAGCAGCATCGTGGAAAACCAGTAAAACCAATTGGCCAGGATCATCTGCCAACTTGGTGAACCATAGTGGCTCTTCCTTCCCATTCTGCGCCATCTTGACGACCTTGTTGGTATTCTTCACGTCCTCATAAGTTGGTTGTTTCTGCTTGCGCTGGGAAAGAGAGACCCCAGCTTGTAGGTCGGGTCGGCTCTGTGCTGCAAGCCAAGAAAGGGCACCAACGGTGCTCATGTTGTCCTTGACCGTGACCTCGTCAGCCTGATCTGCCATCTCATAGTGTTTGGGAAAACTCACCGTCTCGAGCCGCGAGTTGACATAGGCCTTCTGGTGGACCTCGATGGTGCCATCCTTCTGCTTGATGGTTGATCCAGTGTACTCGAACTCGTCAGCCTCCCAATCGGAGATAGGGAAGATCTTAGAGAGGCTTTGCTGCAGCTCCGTCACCTCTCCGGCAGGGGCGGCAATGAGAAGGTCATCGACGTGTGTCACCATAGCACCGCGCAGGTTTCCTTCTCCATGTTGATCTCGAAGAAGAAAAAGACAAGGATCGAACTGGTGGTGCTTAAGCTTCAAGACCTCGTTGCCGATGACAATCTCCAAGCTAAGTAACTCTGCCGCCAACTTATCCCACCAGAGACGCGGGCTATTCGAAAGTCCAAAAACTCCTTTCACGATCTCAATGAGTGATCCTGGTTCTACGCCTGGAAGGCCACGTTTTGGGGGCTCAAAGTAGAGGTTTCTCTTTGAGACCACTCCGTTCAAAAAGGCGGCTTCAATGTCGCCTGCGGCAAGCCTCCATCCAAGCTGAGACGCTAGGTAGAGGAGGGTGAACAGGGAAGTCTTGGACGCTGTTGGCGCTTCTGTTGTGACTTCACCTCTTTTGAGATCAGGGTCCATATGTCCACCCACACAAAGTCTTGCCTTGGCCTTTGCTGGTACTCCAGGGTCTTCACGACGCTTGGCCACGTTCTTGTCCCGATAGGCAAACCTCGCCCTCAGGATCCGATCAGCAGGAACTTTACGACGTAGAAGGTCAGCATCACCAGGAGGATGTACCCTCACAGCCTCATAGTGAAGGTGTTCCTGCCATTGCTTCTTCTCGGCTTCAATGAACAGGGGCCGTTCAGATTCCGGGATGTCCTCCCATCTCACCTCTTTGTCTTGTTGTTTGATGAGACACCGGGGAACACGCCGTTCCACCACCATAGCTTCTTGTGCTCTATCAAGAAGTTCTTCTATATCAGGTTCGTTTTGTTGATCTCCTTCTTGAGCCTCCCGTTCTTGTAGAAGCGCCGGTGCTGGTCGGTCCGGTTGCTCAGGACCTCCATCAGGAAGTTCTCTCTTAAGCATCCTCACGATCCCTTTCGTCCTCATCCTTCTTTCAGGCACGAAGTCAGATGGGGCAGCTCGTTTGTCCAAGGCAACTGCACCTGTAGCGTCTGCAAAGACCTCCTCATCGTCTTCGTCCTCCAGATTGGATACCACCTTCATCAGATCCTCCTTGAGAGCCCTTGTCTGAAAGGCTGCACCAAGCTCCTCACTCTCAGCTGGCCGTAGATGTTCAGGAGCGCATAGTACACACCTCCCACCCCGTGATACCCAGAAAGAGGAACCTTCTTTCCCGATCACGACACCAGGGCCAATCCACTCGCCAACGTTTTGACGTTGCCGTGCTTTGCCACCAGCAGTTTTGTCCACCCTGTAGATGTAGACATAGTCTCCAGCAGTGAACTCCTCAGGGGCCACACGTGAGCGGCCAAGCAGAGCACGCTTGACGGCGGACTCAGTCTGCGACTGGATGAATGCCATCCGAGCCGCGTACCTGATCTGTTGTTTTCTCCTCCAAATCTCGTCATTCGACCTCAACTCCTCAAGCTGGTAGAGCTCCTCATTCTCGTCCAACATCGCATCACCAAGCCTGGGTTCAGCACCGAACAGCCATTGTGCAGGGGAGTAGCCATGGCTCCTCCTCAGATTGTTTTTGGCGGAGTTCACCATGGCCAAAGTGTAGTCGACCTCGTCATGTGAAGGCACCACATGGGCAATCGTCTTGTCCCAAATGGCGCGATACCATTGGCCTTGTCGTTCTACTGCACCTTGTTGCCAATGGGCTTGTCCAGCTATGACTCTGCTCTGGCATCCCAGCATGTCCAGCCCATCGGTGAACTCCTTCAGGAAGCCACGTTCTTGGTCCACGGTGACCCGCATCGGGGGGCCTGCCCAGTTCACCCAACCCTCCATAAAGTCCTTGAGAAGATTGGCAGACTTCTTGCCACTGATTTTCTTCACGACGTGGTACCCAGTGGCCATGTCTAAGATGGACAAAGTCTCGATCTTCTTGTGCTCGCTGTCGAAGAGATTGAGGGTGTCCAGGCAAACCTCCTGGTTGAAGTCCAGTGCACGCACCATCTTGGCAGGCCGTCTGGTACCCGGTCCGGTATGACGTGCACACATTTCACACCGGAGAGAGTGTGCCGCTTTCACGGCAATCTCGCCTGCACCAGACAATTTGAGATGTCGGGCTAAATCCTGGTTAGAAGGATGCCCGAGATTCTGATGGATCCTCCTCAAAGCCTTGGCAATGTGCCCAGGAACATGTTCTGGAAAATGGATGCCCGATGCACCCGCACGTCCTGGTAGATCTGCACCAGGTTCGTCTTTAGGTGAAAGAGCTCCACAAGGACCTTGACGTACGTGATCACCAGGAACGTCAGAAGGGCCAGGTGCTCGATCTCCATGTAGGGAACCCGCGCTTTGTTGATCGCCTCGTTCTCGACCATGATGATGTGCTCGACCATGATGATGTGCAGCGGAAGAATGTTCTCCAGGATCAAGAGGATGTACCGGCATAGCCTCCCACGTTCGATCGCTCTCGTAGTACCACATAGTCCCACACATCCTCTTGTAACCCTTGATGACCGCCTGGCAAAATTCCTTGGTGTAGATGCCAGCCGGCTTGGTATTCCTCCCCTCCGTAGGGGTGTGGCCATGTCCACCATGGCAAGTCAGGCTAAGCGGCTCCAGCAACTTGGGGCTTGATGACAAAATCCTTGTTGGTTTCCTGAGCCTACCGCCATCCGTGACGGCCCTCAGGTTATATATATAGCGACACATGTCCAGGTTTGTCATCGACACCAAAGGGCTGTCCATAAGACTGTCCAAAGTCGGGTCATCCCACATGTCGGAAGCCTTCGGGTGTTCGAAGGCCACTTCGCCACCAGCTTGTACTTGAGCCCACGCCGCTTCAACGGCCAATTTCACCAATTTACGTTGTTTCTGTCGAGCTCGTCGTAAGGCTTGGCGACGATGTGCATAGTTCAACCTCTGCCAGGGCGACCACATAGTGCAAGGTAAAGCCACCCAGAGTAGCCTCGGTCGCATGGTCTCGATGTCCCTGAAGACACTTTCTTGTGCAAGCCGATCAAAAAGATCATGGCCATAAAGTATATCTCGTGGCTCCAAGACATTGTACCCCTGTGCAGCAAACTCCGTTGTCAGCTTGGCAGAGCCCGCAAAGAGCTCCAAGAGAGCCACCGGTTCATCTTCGCGAGGCTTCACGAAGATGCTTGCCATGTCCCGGAGCGGTTCCACCACAGCTTCATTGACCTCAGCGGCCACTGGTGCTGCGAGTGCCACCAAAGAGGTAGTCAGACAAAGTAGGGCTCTCCGGGCCCACCCTGTCACCCTCTTTCTCGATGTCCTCTTCATCCGCTTTGATGGCAAGTTGCGGACTGTCTCGTAGTCCAGTGGGTACTTCAGGTTCACTTTCGGTGCCCCCTCCTCCTGGTCCATGTCATACTCATCAACGTCCAAGTTGTCCTGGTCATAGATCTCATCCACGGTGTGCTCATCGTCAAGGATGTAGGGAAGTGCAGCCTCGCGCATAGATCTCCTCAGCCTCACCAGCTCCTCGACCTTCTTCCAGTAGGCCTTCTTCTTCAGTCTCGTCCGGGAGCCGCCTTGGCTTTCGCCTTCACCTTCTCCTCCTGATCCTTGATCGTCCGAAGTACCTCCAGACGAGCCTCCATATCCTTGATCTGATCGTCCACCGGCCAATCCACCTCTGAGAAGTCGGTGCTGTCCTCCTTTGTCTCCAAGGGTCGGGTTCTCGATGTCCGTGCTGTCTTTACTGGTGACCCCTTGTACGGTGGATTGGTCTTCGGCTTGGCCCTCGGCAGAGCCCCAGACGGCATCGGCACCACTGGGGCTGCCTCTGGGTTCTGATGGCGGCTGGTAGTGCTCGTTGACGACCGAGCTTGAGCCCACCTGGCCAGTCGGGCCAGGTCTGCACTGTGTTGCGGATTGCTGTTCACCTCGTCCATAGCCCATCGCAGATAGGACTCGTTGACTTCCTTGTACATATAGCCCTTGTAGCTCCCGAAGCAAACCACCTCCTCCGCTGACAGTGGCACGCTCTCGCGGAGGAGCTTGATCATCACACCACGCGAGACCTTCTCCGGCAGTGGGATCCCCTCTGCCGAGCACTTCTTCTTCAAGTCGTCCAGGCAGAGGTGAGTCAGCCCCTGAAGCCTGCTCTTGTTCAGCCCGCGGATCTCCAACTCCTCCATCAACGTGGTGCGCAACTCGGGCACCGTCCAGTCTGGACGCAAGGGCACACCCATGGACTCCAACTTCTCCACCAGCTCGGCCTTGTTCATCTTCCATGGCGAAGTTGGAACGGATGACATCCAAAGGGCCTGGGCTTGCCACTTCAGGTTCACGAGGTTTTCGGGGAAAACGGCTGCGGCCAATCCAAAGAAATTCTGCACGTGGTCCACCATCTTCATGCCAATGGTGTTCAAGTTTCAAGGTGGGACACTTGGCATAACAGGGTATGCACGTAGACTCTCTCAAATCACCAAGACTTTCAAGAAGTGTTTCACGAAGTGGGCTGTGTGATGTGTTCCACTTGGTTGGGTCAAAGAAAGCTCGTCTTGGTGTCACATGTATGCGGTCCAGAAAATGTTCCGACTCGACCCAAAAATCCCTAGCCAAATTCTCAGTGTTCCACCAGTTCAAAAATGATTCATGCTCCAACACCGTTCTTGTGAGAAGTTCCTCAACATGACCATGAACTTTGGGATAAAAAAGTTTGACTGTCCCCAGTGATGCTGCACTCGCCATGTATGCCTCCTCAGCGATCGGTGCTGGTCGTGGAATGTGTACTTCGATCACACTCCAATCCAAACGATCCGGCCACACAGGTGGTTGGCCATGAAAACTCAAGGCTTCAACAGATGGATGCCCCGAGGGGGTGTAGCCGAGCTTGACATCTTTCAAGCCCAGGCCGCAAAAATCAGCCTTGTTCTCATCCATCTTAAAGTGCATGCCCAGCTGTGAGAGCACAGGACGGCTCAACAGCAGTGGTACCTGAGTAGAAACCACTGCAATCTTCACCAGAAACCAACGTCCTTGAATAGCCAGCCATGCCACCAGTGCCCTCGTCGATGGATAAAGACGAGGTCCACCGAACTTGAAGTTCTCCTTCTGCTCCATCAGCATGTAGGGGATCTTGTACTTCTTGGCGAAGAGGATGTAGTTCTTGATCCACGGAACTCCAGCCAAAGTGCGGCTGCATGCGCAATCCACGACCACCTCCAGCTCTGCAGTCTCGCCACCCGTGTAGTAGACGATGTGTGTCGAATGGGCCGTAGTTCCAGAAGAGCCGTTGGCCTTGTTCTTGGGGCAGATCGGGTCCTTGTGCCAATGTCCTTTCTTTCCACAAGCACTACAGTATGATCTCTGCTTTGCACGCTGCAGTGCCTCTTCCCGACCCTGGGGTGTGATGGCCCCCCGGGCCTTGAGCACATTGTTGTACTTGGCCTTCGCATTCTGGTAGGCCACAAAGGCTTCGTGAGTCTCTTCGTCCTGCTCCTCGTTCTCCTCCTCACCATCGTAGAGCTCGATGTCCTCCATGTCCTCCAGCTCATCCGAAGCGTCCTCAACCTCAGTCACATAGACGTGGTTCTTCTTGGGGTCCTGCCGTTTCGTCTCCCAGATCCTCCGATTCATTCTGTCCTGAACGACTGCAGCCTCCTGCAGCTTGGTCAGCTCGTAGGTGTTGCCCACGGAGGCCAGGAGATTCAGCTCAGACCCATTGTCCAAGCGCAGCTTGTCCACATACCACCAGGCATTGCATGCACCGGGCTGCATGCACCCCACCTCTCGTAGCTTGCCGATGTGGCGGTCGAACTCCATGTTGAAGTCACGGATGTCCTGGGTCGGCAACTTCTTAAAGTTCTTGAAGAAGTCACTCATGTACTTGCCTGCCTTGACCACCTCTTTGTCCAAGTACCGCTCCTTGATCCATGAGATGAACACCTCCACACCGTCCGAAGCGTCCAAGGTGGAGACGTCCAACTCCTCAGCATCCCTCCAAGCCTTGCCAGTCAGGCTGTTGTAGAGCACGAGAGCCTGTTTGGCTGGTTTCAGCCGGGTCACCCTCTTCCATGCTTGGACTTTGCGAAGATAGCCTCGTGCTTTGATGCCATCTCTGTCATCTTCACCATTGAACTCCGGGGCAACGATCTTGTCACTGCCGCCCCCACCAGTCCTCTCTTCATGGCCATCTTCAGACCTCCAAGTAGACCAAGGGTCCCTCCAGCTCGCCCAAGGGTCAGCAGATGCCGTAGAGCTCGTCCACCAGGTAGTGCGACCACCATTCCCAGTTTGCCATTCATCATCATACACCGTGGGTGCAGGAGAAGTAGAAGCTCCTGAGTTCCAGAGTCCTAAGTTCCACAGACGCCAGTCCTCAGTGCTCCAGCCATCCTCAGTCCCTTCAGGTTGGTTTCCAATCCTATCAGTAGGTGAACTGACACCATCTTCAGATCCTCTACTAGAACCCTGATTGGACCCCTCTGGTGTAGCCATCCTGCAACACCACGGTGAACCCCACAAAGCAGCGACCTCGCTGACGTCCAATCCACAGCAGACCCCACGCTATGGCTGAATCTTTGACCGGGGTATTACAGGCCCCCCGGTAGGCTCCGCTACCAATGAAAACAGGTAAAAGGGGAAAACCGCACAGCGAGGCACTAGCAACTGTTTTGCCGCAAACTGGGACAAACTCATGAGCCTAAAGGCCCGGTAAGGTTGATAGGTGCAAGCTCAATTGGAAGTGGATTCACATATACATATATATATATACATATATATATATACATATATATACATATATATATATACATATATATACATATATATATATATACATATATATATATATACATATATATACATATATATATATACATATATATACATATATATACATATATATATATGTATATACACGTACATATATATATGTATGTAGGTAGATATAGATGTGGATGTAGATATAGATGTAGATATAGATATCCATATATAGCGGTATAATATATATATAAATAGATATATCGGGCTGAATTCAGGTAATTCACAAGCCTGAAATAAGGTCATTTGGGGATGTATATACATATACATATATATATATGTCATATTAGTCATCCCAAAAGGAAAGACGAGTGTGGAAAAAATGGCCACTGTTGTGAATAGGATTTTACATGTTCTTTTTTTTGGCTGGTGCTATATATATACGAATATATAATATGTGAAATTATGTGAGTATAAGTATGCTACAATGAGAAATATGTATTATATTTACACATATATATGTCATGTAATATGTATGCATATAGATGTAATTTTTGTCAGTCACAGGGAGCTGGGGTGACTACTGCTTAACTAAATCCAAAATGATCCAGATGGACGACCATCAACATGCAGCGCACCTAAACTCACATACCGATTTTTTGGCTTGTCGGTCAATGGGCGGTTTAATCCCATCAATCTGTCTATGGATTTAAGCTCATAAAAAGGGTCATTAAACAGATCTTCAGATATTCCCACTAGATTCCCCAAGCAAACAGGTGGATGAACCGGGAAATTTCCAAGCCTCTACACATCAACGTCGGGCCTCTTGCATCTGCTTCATTCCAAAGGACGGCATCATATGCACAGGATGTCTCCCTGGACGTGGGGCCCTGGGACCCCGCAGTAAGATGAGGCTCTGAAGTCAGTTGCAATTGATTCTGCCGGGGGAATATATACACAAGATTTTTAAAAACTCAGTGACTCGTTGCGTGAGTAAACTGTATGTCTACTACATACCTATATATATATATATAACACATATGTATAATTTGTATATATGTATATATATATATATATATGGTTGGTGGTATACCTACCCCTCTGAAAATTGAGTTCGTCAGTTGGGAATATGATTCCCAATTCATATAATATATATTATTTCTATATATTATATATATACCACTTATTACCACTTATTGCTACACAACCTCCGATCCGGGATCCACCGTTCAGGGCACCGCGCCGCAGACACTCAGCAATGCCTTACGAACCGACAGGTCCTGCGCTTGCGCAACGCGAAACTCACGCGTTCCCGCAGGGTGGACCATGACCGAACCAACAGGGATGGATACCCTCTGGTAAACGAACATAGCTATTGAAAATTGCCATTTATAGTGAGTTTTCCCATTGAAAATAGTGATTTTCCAGGGTAATCTGATAGCTGCTTGATGCTATCTCCATGAAAATCAGGAATCTTCGGATGTTCTGATGTTGCTAATGAAGATGCTATAAGGCCCAAATGTATTACTTCATCATTACTTCTCATTTTGACCCAGATGTCTGAATATAGTCTGGTGAAATCCAACGTTCGATTTCGGCCCGTTACGAAGCCGCCTGGCCGATGTTTTCGGCCTGATGCTTGCGCAGGGTCACGAACCTGGGATCGCTGTGGTGACCTAAGCCTCACCTCTGATCCCAGGATATCCGGTGAGAAGCTCTGGCGGCTCCTCCACTTTTGAAACTTTGCTGCTTTCGCGAGTGAAAAACAAAAAGGAACGTAAAATTTAAGGGATCCTTTTCCTACGATTGAAAATAAAGTTCATTGAAACCAGCATCTTGGCTGTGTGGAAGGCTGCTGTTGTTTCTGGATGACATGGCTAACTCATCTAAGCTTTAGATAGCCCTTTACGAGCTTGAGTTTCACTGGGATCTCAAGACAAATTCTGCAACCCATTGCTAAACTAAAAAATGCATGTACCCTCTGGTAATTTAACATAACTATGGAAAATCACCATGTTCTAGCTGACTACATCATCTATAAATCTATCAATGGTCCATGTTCCATAGCTATGTTACTTTACCAGAGGCTAAAATGCATGTTGAACTGACCCATGCACCAACAATCACCAACAATCACCGCTGTGGGCCTCGATGGATTCTTTCCGGCCTCGGCAGAACATGGTGGATCTGTTCGACTCGTTTTGTTGTATCTATACCAGAGGCTATAAATCGCTAACTTTTTTCAGGGATGACTAATATGGATCTGGAGACGTAAAAACCAGTTGAGCGATTTAAGTAGAATGATCCGGGTCAAAAAAAAACGTAATCCTAATATATCCATTGTATATATATATATATACTAATATGTCCTAATATGTCCTAATATTCTTGGTGAACTGCATCCCATGAGATCCGAATCACCGAATCATCGCAATCGGATCGAGTCACGTGTCACCATGTGTCACCAGATCTCTAGGAGCGAGACCAGAGTGTACAGGTGCCGAAACCCAAAGTCCGAGTCCTGCGGCCAGGTGGTCTTGGGTTTCGAAACGCTTTCGAAAATGGTGTTCGGTGTTTGCCAGTCAGGCATGTCAGATGAATTCCCTTATCCATGTACCCAAATCCATCATCATCCCAAATCCTAAAAATTGTTGGTGATATCCTCATTCTATGTCCATTCTATCCCAGTATACCAGTATACCATCACCACCCCTTTGTGAAAAGTGGTGAAATCGCTGAAATCACCACATTTTCTGTTTCACAATTTGTCTTGGTTAAATCGCCATGTTTCAATATGTGTCATTCATTTTGCTTGGTTGAATCTCCATTTTTCTATGAAAAAAATCCCCATGATATCCCCAAAAAGGGGAAACCTCCACCCCTTGTCGCACCGCGAAGGCAGAGATCCATTCGGAGGTTCCGTGGAGACTGGACGGCACGTCCGTCACCTTGGGATGATCCATCTGGCCACGGAAAATGCTGGAGTTTGCCGCGGAATGTGTGGGATGATTTCATCAACAGAAGAGATGGATTTCATCAAGAAAAATGGTGATTTATCCAATTTATCCAACAAAAATGGTGAGATTCTATGGCAACATAAAATTATGACGAACACTTCTGTTGCTCGGGATTATCAATAAGATTCACTGTGAATCAGATCTCGAAAATGATCAGTTTCACCAAGAATGACTTGGGCGTGCGAAACGTGCGGAAAAAAATATTTGACAGACAACCAATTATTTGATGAACAAACATGTGGAACATGAATCGGGGTTGGTATTTGGGGATGACTGTTGGGTCATGGTTTTGTAGCTGTAAAGTGGTGCTGCCCAGCCCCAAACACTACATTATCATACATTATCCATGCACAGGCTTTAAAAAAATCGCTACAAAAGTGCAACCCAGCCTGGATAAAGGGTTATATATGGTTGTATACTAAAGAAACGAAGGGATTTGAGAAGAGGCCCTTCAAGATCCTTAGGGGCAGCAAACCTTGGGATGTAGCCTGATTTCGCCAACGGATTCGCCCACGGATTCAGTTCAAGCAACAAAACTGGGAATTTCACCAACAGGCAGCAGAATTGTATCATAGTGTATCAATGAAAAACTCGGACACAAGCACCAAGAACTTGGGAGTAAGCTCCAACCAGTCAAAAGATGGTAACTTATAATATCTTATAATGATTAACAGCCAATACGTTGCAGAACGAAGCCTGGATTCCAGGAGGGATCTCGATTTCTAACCCAACGATCTAATTCCTGACTATCCGCTGACCGAAAATTGGGGTTCCACCGATTTGCACACCAAGAATGCTCCACCTATTTTTAGATCATGAAAGTCATGAAAATTGACATGTCCGAAACTGTGATAGCCAAAGGCTGAAACTGGAAACTGTCTCTCTCTCTCTCTCCATACGTACAAAAATATAGACACACGTACATATATATATATATGTATATATATACACGGATTTTCGAATATTATATGAGTTTTCTCTGTGTATACATGTACATGCATATAAATATAACTATATTAATACATATATATAATTATGTATATTTACAATTTACAATTATATACATATGTAAACCATCAGAAGGGCCTGTGCGTTTCATTTGGACCAGCAATGCAACAAAAAGGTTGAACAATCGAAGGACCATGACGTTGGACCAGATTGTCTAAATATGGAATCCAGAATGACCAGCTCTTGTCATGTTCATCCGCGAATTTGCGGCAAGGACTCCTCTCTCCATGAAATCTCAAAGGATTTCATAGGGTATCACATGCAGCACGCAGCGTCCCGCATCGATCATGATCCGAACGTTCCAGCATCATCTCCAAGATGCAGAGCGCCGACACCAGCTATGGGATTTCCAGGGAGCTGGAAGCATCTTCTCCAACCTCACGTGTCACCGTGTCACCGCATCGGAAAGTGCTGATTTTGCGGACAGCCACAGTTGTGCGTTGTCCCTTGAGATGGTCTAATATTCGATCTTCGTTTCTTCATGTTCTTCGCCGTGTTTTTGAAACCGATAGTCTCGCTCCACGCGGCAAATGCGAGTGCTATAGCTCTTGTACCAGTCACGCTTGCCCTTTTCTTGCGCGATGACGTGGCTGGCATTCGCCTGCAAGATCCCCATCTCAAAAAAATGCCAGTTGGACACGGAAAAAACATGTGACAAATATCATCTAGTACAACTTTCTGGAAATGTTTTTCGGCGTCGTTTGAGGACTTTTTTTGTACCATGGGATGGTGATCAATGGATTTTGATGGGATGGATCAGCAAAAATCATAAATCCAATTGTTTACTCAAATTGAAAATGATCAATCCCCATGATCCCTATCCTAATCCCTATTGGTTGCTGACTTTTTATCCTATTCTCCCATGAAATATTCGTATGATCATCTTACTATCCCATCATGAAAATCCCATGAAACGAATGTGGTAAACCCTTGCTGCCATAAACCATCCCCAAGTCACCACAAATGGCTTGGGCATAAACCATCCCAGTCATGGTGGGTTTATGGCAGCCAGGGTGTACCAAACCCCAAAAAAGGAACCCATTGAATAATAATAGTAATATGAGTTGGTCGTAACTTACTATGTATTACCACAATAAATTCCATTGTAAAAACATTGAGCATTAAAGTCGCTTTTGAATAATAAGGGAAAAAAGAAGCTCACCGCGGGTTGAGGAGCGCTGGAGCGTTAACACATTTCATCACTGGCTTCAATCAGCCATGATCATTAATTTGTGAGCCCTTTCAGGGTTTCATGTGTTCCAATATCTTGATGTGTCTTTGTGAAATATCTCAAAACCGTGCAAGGGTGCATCATTTTGAGGATCAAAGTTCGCAATTACTATCGTTTCAGATAAGATTGTAATTCAATCACAGATTTCGGATTGCGCGTCTCTTATCTCTGTTTATTTACAGAGAATTCCAAGTCTGTCAAACAAATTGCCACTGGCTGATCTTTCCCGCAGACCACGACATATGTATCTCCACATTTCTGTTTCTTTCACTTTTTCTTTCAGTCCATAGCGTAGCATCATCTAAGTCTGCAAGTAGAAGAAAAGAGTCCTTAGCGTAGCATCATTTCTGTGTGCAAGCGCAACAGGACGTTATTAGCCCCTCCCACCCACCCACCCACCCCATCCACCCCATCTGCAAGAGAAGATCTTGTAACGATCCTTTTTTCATGATGCAAAAACAGGAAAGCACCCGCTTTCCAAGGCGACACCAAAAGTAATACCAAAATAAGAACCATTATTGCTTTTAGATATTTACCAATGGTACCATTTTGTAATACCATTGTATAAACATTGCTTTTTACTTGCCTTTGAAAAAGGGAAAAGTCCAAGAGCCTTTTTGTTCACGCCTTCCATGCAACGATGGCTTCTTCTGAGGCCCAATAACTCACCTCGCAATGGGGAAAATCATGGAAAAATCATCCCAAGACTGGCCCAAAGGTCACGAAAAATCGATGAAAATTCGAGGTTTTCGGAGAAAGAACTGTACAGATACCCTCTGGTTATTTAACATAGCCATGGAAAATCACCATTTTCAATGGGTAAATCCACTATAAATGGACCATCTATACCATGGCTATGTTAAATAACCAGAGGGTAGCAATAATTCGATGCAGGATTTTCCATGGCCATGGCTGATCACAGGGGAATCACCAAAAGAGATCACCAAAAGATGCCACTGATATCACATCACTCCACAAATCTCAGTGACAGAATGGGGGCCATCAAAAACAAGGGCGGCTGGTGGAAATCAACAAAATGTCCAATTAATCATCATGAAATGTGTTTGCTTTCTGACAAAGATGCACTTTTTGATCACTTTTTAGCCCGCAAGCTTGGTAATCCTATAGGTACCTCCACATATTCCTTAGGTCGTGGTTGTCATGTAGATGTCAGGTCGTCATTTCCTTCTTTCAGGCCTGCACGCTTTGAAATTTGAGAACCAGAGCAACAAAAATAAAGGTGAATCGCCATTGTCCCCATTAAACAGGCATTTTGGATCATTCTGGGAGGTATATCCCACTTTGCAATCCGTCAAGGTACCAATCAGATATGGATTCGCATGGCAGGGGACTGAGGTTTTGATTGAAAATCTATATAAGAATATTTTTTTGAGCACAAGAGATGATGTTGTTTTAGTAGCAGAAGAGTCATAATCGTCATCCCAACATTCCTCAGAAATCGATGTTTTCCCATTCCCATCCTCCCATCTCATTAGCCCACTATCTTGTTGGGCAAAGACTATGGGTTCGTCCAAAAATAGGGGACAACCATGGACAGCCTCAGGCTGTCCCAGTACCGGAAATGACGATCAACCAATGAATTTTGTTACATTTAGCGTGTACACATGCGCACCATCCAATTGGATAAAGCCATATTTTGCCGCTGAAAATTAGGGTACTCCTTTTCACCCTTGGTTTCCATTCTTAAGAATAAACAATACCAATAACTTCGATTACAATTTGGGGTACTCAATTTTAAGAAATCCCCATATATCCCAATAAAGTTCGTGGTTTTATACCGGGCATAACTTTGTTGGTTAAATCATTTAACTCCCCCATTGATAGCCACGAAAATAATCGACCGTTTTAGAATCCCGCCCTGGTGTTTTTGTTCGTCATATTCATCCATATTCAACATGATCCCAACCATAAACATAAAGCTGAAAAGGAATACCCTCTGGTAATTTAACATAGCTATGGAAAATCACCATTTTTAATGGGAAAATCCACTATAAATGGCCATTTTCAATAGCTATGTTAGTTTACCAGAGGGTAAATTAAGCAACAACGAAGAACTGCAAATAACCTCTGAAAACTAAGAACTACACTGCAGTGACTTGCCCACAAAAAACACCAGTCCTGAAAATCTACCACTAAACACCCCTGGAAATGGTTCTTTGTTGGGATTTGCACATGGTGTTTAATATGAACCGCGGATGGGATCAACCGCATTTTTTTCTACTGAAGTCCCCGCTGGTGATATCCCCATATGATCCCTATAAAATCCCTTGGTCCTATGTATTGAAAATCTAGTTAAATATCTATATATTATGTGTATATATATAACATATATATTTATATATATAACATATAATTATGTAACATATAATTATATGACATATAATTATATAGCATATAATATACCTATATGATATGCCTATTCAACTTGCAAATCTCGCAATCGAGGTGTTGTCCGGTTTTCTCTACCGAGCGGCTGTGATGCCCAACGTCTCTCGGGCACTTTCAACCCCCAGAAAGCCCGGCTGCTGCTCAGCCAACTGAACCATACGCTGGGACATGGCATCATAGCCCTGGGCTGATGCGGCACGATGCCTATCTTGAATTTC